AGTATTTGGCCTAATCACTTCAAGACAAAATTTCGTATTAATAAGACAATAATAACAAGAAAGATGCCAAGAGAAAAGTCAGATTGGGACGTATTATCAGTAAAGAAAGTTTTTGGTATTGCGAGTAAGTAAAAATAATATTAAACAAATTTATATATATTATTAGTAATTTTTATAACCTTTTTAAGACTTTTATTCTTTAAATTATTTAGATACTTACGAAGAAGGTATGCAAAAATTAATTTTAGCAGAGGATACATCAAATATTGAAACAAATATATCGTCAAACGAATTAAAAGAAAAAGAAAAGAAGAGAAGGCGTTTAAAAGCCAAAAAATATTTATCTTCCTCTTCTGAAGAAGATTTATATCCATATAAAGAAAATACACGAGAAAAAATTCTGCCTGCTCTTCCACAGAAACAAAATTTTGTATCATTTGACAAAGAAGTACAGGATACATCTAGACAATTTACAAGAAATATATTATGTGAAAACACATTATTTAATGCAGTAAACAGAAATGGTGACCATTATATAGTTAGAATTTATTAACATTATACTATAAAATATTCATGAAAAAATACTAATACTTACTTTTGAATTACTTTTCAGATATTAGTGCTAACGAAATTGCTGTACACAGTACACCTTTTATAAAAAATTCTGCTTTACATACAGAAAATGAAAATCTGTATACTCATGGTATAAGTTTTAAAAATACTTATAATTTTTTTATATATTTCATATACTAAACAAATATACAACAACATATTTGTTGCATGATATATAATAGTAAACACAGTAGTGACATTTCTAACCATTAACTAAATGATATTAATTTATTTCAGAATTTAAGAAAGTAATGTTAGGAAAGTTAAACAGAATATTATATAAATTGGATACCATTGAAAACAAATTTGAAATACTTCAAGAGAAAGTACAATATCGGAATCAATCTTACATTATACAAAACAACAACATACAATTCCCGATATGTACCTTACCAGAATTAACATTGTTTGAAGAACAATTGCAAGATATGAGATTCAAGGAAGATGTAGTACGATATATATAAAAGCTTTTAAATTTTATTGTGGAATATTTCTCCTTATAAATAGTATTTATAAAGTTGGCAATTTATTTCAGCTTAATATCTTTCAACTTGTTGGTGGAAATAGTGCTCATAGTATGATACGAAATATATTCAAAAAGGCAATAACGGATAATTTAGCTATACATTTCAGTTGGACTGGAAAGAGAAATAAACAATGTTTCAAAGATTTAGGACTTCCAAAAGTGATTATACGTAAGTATTTTTTAATTTTATTTTGTTATTCTTAATTAATTCAAGTAAAAGATTTTGTCAAAACATACATATATAGAAAATGTCCTGAATAAAATAATATATACATCCATAATTCGTAAACAGTACACGGAAAAAATACTATTGCTTCAATTAAAGTCTACGTCACGGGATGCCACAAACATACAAAGTTCATTCAATATTTTTATTGGACCAAATATGTGGATAATTGTTTTAATATGCCAGATATTTGGTCCAATAAAAATATCATTGAATGAACTATGTATGTTTGTTGGCAGCCCGTGACATAGACTTTTATTGAAACAACAGCATTTTTTTCCGTATAGATATTAAGAAACAATTATTTAAATTAAACTTTTGAGATTTTGAAAGAAACATATAAGATAGCTATTTGTTAAGGCATTAAAATTATTTTTATGTTATTTCAGTTCTTTTATACGTAAAATAAGCTGAGGAATCTATTTATATTGAGAAAAAATCAAAGTTGACTTTGAAATAATCAAAAAAACATTTTAATATCATAATAATGTATTGTCATATATTTCATATTTAATCTGATGTTTCCTTCGAAATCTCTTACAATTATCACTTTAACAATTGATTCTCTATATGTACTATTTACGAATTATTTATGTATTATTTTATTGGAACACTGTATATATACTTTGATTAATATTTAAAACATATGTTGAATATTATTTGGATATATTTCAGAAGCTGTTCGTATGTTATATAAAGAAATAACAGAAAACGAATTTGCAGAATATGCATCCAAGTGGCTTGCGCATGCTCCTATACGAATACTAAGGCAAAAAAATGAAGAAAAGGGTTCAGATAAATAAAAATTATACAACATGCGTAATGAATATCCTTTTTTCATATATATATTCGTATATTATTTTATATAGTCAACCAAAGATAAAACACTTTGTTTTTGTTTTTATAGTTTATTATATCTAGTAAACTATGTGTTCATGCGTGTGGGACGCATATATATATATATATT